AAATTTAAACATGGTGAAAAACAGGAGGTTGGATGATTTGCCAGGTAGCCAGCAGCTACTAAAATAATGTGTAACATCACTTTTAGGGTGTATCTTATATTGGTTGCAATGTACATATGTCAGTTTTAAAACAGTCGATGTGGAAGTTGTGCAACAGTGCAGATCAGAAAATAAAGATCTCCAGAAAAAATGGTACCTATTGGTCAGGAAACCCAATTAAGAAATTGATTGATGAGATTTATGACGAAGCATATGACCACTGACGTCCCACATTATATGACAGGCGTAATAATCTATCTTTGAAAACGACGACTCAGTGAAAACCGACAAAATTACTCTTTTGTAATCGCACATACCAGCAGTGTATGCTAATTTCAAGTTGTGTGCACTTGCGTAGCTACAGGTATTTGATGGAAGTGTAAATCATGTTTCATAATAACACAAAAACTTATTACTCCTACGTTTTGCATTGTGGGAGTTTAATTTTCCAAAGAACGTCAACCCGGAGCAAATTTCTCTAGAGCTGTGAACGCACAACCAGTCCCTATTTATAGGCCGATATGTATTTTTTGTCCAAAATCCGAATTAAACGAAAATGGTAAGGCAACGTTAACGATGGCTGAAATCAACGTGTTGCAACTGGGCCACCGTATATTTATGATAACATGTTGGTTGACCTCCAACATCGAAACTGTGAACGTGAGCGTACACGTAAAGCGCCAGCAGTTCTATTGTATATACACGCTCGTCGCCAACTCGGCCGAAGTAGTCTTGTACATATGTATGTTCATGTACATGTACTGTATGTACTGTACATGTACAGTAGTACTGTATGTACACACGATTGGGTTTCTACAGTATTCGACATTGGCAAGTACTGATACATCATTAATTTCAGAGCAAAGCTATAGAGCCTCTCATTTTATGAGGATACAACAACTTATACGCTGCACAGGCTAGTTTGAAACATCCCCAAAATAAAAAAAAAGTGTACAAAACCTTTAAGTCTGTCTGTTTCAATTAAATTGTTGGGTTTGTCTGATCAGGCACCAATTTTTCTGCAGGCGTTCGAGTTATCCGTGTGATCAGTATCCATTGTGCCAATCAGATATTCCGATCGTCAGGGTGTGTCATAAGTGAGACAGTACCTCTTTGTCAGACAATTAGTGTTTTAGTTATTATTACAAATCGTGTGTAGTCCAAAATGTAGTTCCAGCTGCGAAAAGTGCAAGCAACATAACGCGTTCGGCGTATGGTACCCAAGACTGACCTGGACACGATACAAAGGCCGTAAACATAATACACATAGCTAAGCTGTGTAAAGTCACTGTGCGTGGAAAGGGGAACGTATGAATCCTTGCGAGAAAAGGACTATTTATGAGTCGAGGTTGAGCTGCAAAGTAGCTGAAAATAATAAGGTGTTGCTTATGCTAACCCTGATAATAAAATAACCTGTGTAACAGACGTACCTTGCTTATAACTTGGAAGATTGGTAACAGTTCCGTTTGAGGTTTGTCAGTACTTTGATGACTGAAAGGTGCCTAGATACAACCTCGTTTTTTTTTTTTTTTTTTTTTTTTTTTTNTATATAATTAACATCTCCCCAACGCAAAAAAATACATCTTGAAAATTGATGCTAAGATGATCAGACTATGAAATCATTGACACTTGATTCTACTCTCAGTGTCAAAAGGCCACTGAAACCTATTTCCAGACAGGTTCCCCAACTAACGTTAGTCACAGATTGTCTATAGTATCACTAGGCCAGCTATTTCCACATTTGCCAGACATGAAAGGCAAGGAGTAACACAATCACAATGACATGACAAACTAAAGTCAGGGAAACTTCACAGGTACGTGTCAGGTGAACTTATGAAGCCTTCACATGTACCAGCGACCAGCAGTTCACCATCGGACAACAGGCTACAGCTGTATTTGACTTCAGCCTGAGTTTAGGCCGTCTCTATGCCGATTTAGAGCTCACTTGAGCAGACCACACTTTGTACGGTATACTGGAAGTCAGTGACTGCTGTGATCACTTCCTGCCAAGGCAACAACCATGGCATCATAGTCTGGCTTTATAACGTACAGGTACATGTCGTGAACGCATGTACTGTACGTCTGCAAGTCATGCAAGCACATGTAGATGTACATGTACCATATAAAGTTGGAACGGCCTTAAAGGCCTAGGCCTATCTCGTGTATGTGCATGTATCACTGTAGACTACTTGCGCTGCAAGCCGGCACGGAGGCACACATGAAAGACATAAAAGTTTCTTTGACTATATTCAATAAATTGTTTATCAAAACGATCAGACACTTTTTGTGAATTAACTTTGATGAAGGGAAAGTAGTCCAGATAAAAAGATTCAGGCCCAAAAATACAATATATGTCACAGGGAGGCAGCACATCTTCACCGGCAAAATGGCACGGACAAGAATAAATTGGTTCCACCACCACTGAGACTCATAATGTGTTCAATTCCACATGATAGAATATGGGAGCCAGACACAACAGCCAAAATTTTGGCGGGAATTTTTTTTGTAGGTTATATAATTAAATTCCCATTAAGAATTAATAAGCACATTTTTGTGTATAAAACTCCAAATATTTTTTTTCACATCAAAATTTTAAATCAAAAACTTAATTTCAGCAAACAAGTAAAACATATTGCCAAACTGGACCGTCTGAAATATTAATACGCTGCTACATAGCTCGAGGCATTTTACATTAGAAATCAGTATACGTCCGCTCAAAAAATAAAACGCTCCATTGTTTACAGCTGCCAAAAAAGAGAACTTCCGATAAAGGATATAATTGATAATTTTGTGTCGTGATGTGCACAAAGTAGTTTTAAACTCTGGTATATCATGTGTTTATATTGCAGTTTCGTCTTAATTAATTTAATTTAATTTGTTATTTATTTAGTTATTGCTTCTTATTTTTCATTTCACAAAAATGACGTTTTTAAAGAGGATGGAAAATAACTTCCTGCATTTTAACATATCGATTGTCTTTAGTGGGTCAACATTGAAAACACATACATATGTCATCTGCCAAAGAAAAGATACCTTCAGTGAAAGTCTGTACACTAAAATGTACTTTGTTGTCATATTAATTAAGAACCTAGTTTTCCAATAAACTGTGAAATAGTGTTTATGTTGCAATTGTGTCATTAAATTTACTTTTAAAACATAAGGAAGTTAACCAGGTCTGGGCCAGCTCTGTTCCAGTGCCTGAAAAGGGATATGCTTAATCGACCTGTTGCCAGTCTTGGGCCAGTATTGGCCCAGAGTTGGCAATGACAATTAATGCCAGTTCTGAGCCAGCTCTGGGATGCCAGTTCTGAGCCAGCACTGGTCCAGAGCTGCCATGGCTGAGCCAAGGCATGCCAGGTCTTGCCACACCTGGGCCAAGACTGGGCTGATTGTCTGATGTTTGCTGGGGTATATGCTTTTCACAAAATGTATTCTTTTCCTTCGATTTGTGGAATTGTCAAAAACAGGATAATGTTTTATTGAAAATCTCGCGTGTAACGCTATACAAACATTAAAGGAAATACATTTGGTATTTAAAAAATTATTTTCATACAGCAAGTGCTTAACTCAACTCGTTTCGCGCATAAAAATACGTTTACATATACAAATACATGTAAACGTTCTCCGAATATACCCTGGGAACAACGTTGATATCGCAGGACCTTTGAACTTGACACCGCCTTGTTTCTCATATTGCCTAGCCTGGCACTTTCTAACGGCACTGTAGTGCAATGAAAGATACGCATAGTGTCTACACCGGAGCTGTTACACGCTACGATAGAATGAGTGTGGTATTGCTTACGTACAATGGACAGCCCGACATGTTTACATTTTTATTTGCGTGGCAGTTCTGGCTCTATGCCAAATGACATGGTTGGGCTTTTTTCGAGCTCCACAAATAGGTTGTTCGCGTACCGCAGTTGTTGCATAGTACGGCACACGTACTTGCTTCCGTTGGCATAAAATCAGTATGGAGATGAACAGAGCGCATAGTTATATAATTTCAGTGCACTACTATTAAAGTGGTTTACATCGACATTAATTCATAATTCGATTATTAATTGTTTCGATATAGTTTTTTTAATCAATATATTGGTCCTAAAAACTATATCAAAACAATTAATAATCAATTGATTTTCCCACCATTTTTTGCTAATGCGAGAGGAGAACTAATTTTCCTTCGATATTTCTAACCCATATAACAAATTTAATTCAAGGTGTCTTCGTACTAGCTCCAAGACCAGAATCGACGTCAAGGGCATGGCATAGTTTCGTGTTACAATGATGTGGTCAAATTTATTCAGCGCCACTTGGCAAAAAATCAATTTCGAAAACATATGGTAATGTGAAAATGTTTCGGGGAGCTGGGATTTGCCACAAAAAATTTAGCTGGGGCCTTATTACTCATTTATCTTAAACAAGTGTGAGATCTCTTGCATAGATTAATGGCAAGAATAGTTAAATTACACCATTTTCCTGTTCGAACGAATTGGCTTCATTAAAACATCTATTATGTTTTGTTCGTGGTCGTTTGGAAACTATCATCGTGATAATAGTTTTTAATCCAAGAAGTCAGTTACGCACTTTTTAAAAATCGTATCAAGAGACAAGAACGCATACATATTTTGACGAACCTTAGGTTTAGCGCCTTTTTGCTACAGATTTCGTGAAGGACATCTTGAAGAAAAACATCAGCCCTTTCCACTAAATGTTAAATGTNAAGTAAAAACATGGTGAAAAACAGGAGGTCGGATGATTTGCCAGGTAGCCAGCAGCTACTAAAATAATGTGTAACATCACTTTTAGGGTGTATCTTTTATTGGTTGCAATGTACATATGTCAGTTTTAAAGCAGTCGATGTGGAAGTTGTGCAACAGTGCAGATCAAAAAATAAAGATCTCCAGAAAGAAATGGTACTTTTGGTCAGGAAACCCAATTATGAAATTGATTGATGAGATTGATGACGTCCCACATTATATGACGGCTGTTCTTAATCTATTGGGTTAAATGTCTTTGAAAACGACGACTCAGTGAAAGCCGACAAAATTCCTCTTTTGTAATCGCACATACCAACAATGTATGCTAATTTCAAGTTGTGTGCACTTGCGTAGCTACAGGTATTACACTTCCAGTACGGAAGTGTAAATCATGTTTCATAGGAACACAAAAACTTATTACTCCTACGTTTTGCATTGTGGGAGTTTAATTTTCCAAAGAACGTCAACCCGGAGCAAATTTCTCTAGAGCTCTGAACGCACAACCAGTCCCTATTTATAGGCCTCATTATGTATTTATTGTCCCAAATCCGAATTAAAGGAAAATTTGAGTTATCCGTGTGATCAGTATCCATTGTGTCTATCGGATATTCCGATCGTCAGGGTGTGTCATAAGTGAGACAGTATCTCTGTGTCAGAAAATTAGGACGTGTTTTAGTTATTATTACAAATCATGTGTAGTCCAAAATATGTTCCAGGCTGCGAAAAGTGCAAGCAACAGACCGCGTTCGGCTTATGGTAGTGTTGCGCACCCACAAATCTTGGAATTCTAGCGCCCCCTAGTTTTACTCGTTCTCGGTCCCTGCATTTCCCAGGGTCTCTCAGCTATGCATTATGGACATGTAGCAGAGACGCTAATTTTGTATTAAGATATTCATGCTGTACTCTGGAGCGATCGCGTGTTCCTTCACTCCGTTTTCCTTGTGTTTTCTCTGCTCAGTTTTGGTATGTCGAAATTCCCCTCCACGTGGCTGCGTGGTTGGGCGTGGCAAGGTTCCCTGAAATGCTAATGTTCAGAAAACCTCAAACTTTGTAACTGTCAATCATTTGCCACAG